CCAGAACATGCGTAAAGCGTTAGTTACAAATATCTAACTCTAGACTCCCCCAGACTGGCAGTCGGGACAATTTTATTGTTATCAAAAAGAATTGACGCGGAATTTTCGCGTCAGGCCAAAATTTAAAAGAGAAAAAAAAAGAATTTGGATTGTAAATAGACGTAACAATATAAATCATGAAAACAACCACCAGTGTGCAATTATTTGTTGGAGATTGCAATTGCCTACGCTCATTCAGACTTGATTGTAATGGACAGAAACAGTTGTTAAATTTTGTGACCAGTTTAGTATGATAGAAAGCGTGTACAGTCTTCAAATTACCACAATAGACAGAGTGGAGCCTGAGGTGAAGACCGAATGTCATGTGATTCCGGCGTTTCAAAATAAATTGCACTTTCAAATAATATTCATGAGTTATGTCTACGTCATAACCTCGTTAAAGGTCATTAGCATATTGCGCCCGCAGTGCGCATATATTGGTCCTCTTTTCCGTATTCCACAACCAATGCTTCATCACAATGAGGTCAATTGCAATTTACGTTTGATGTAAGTGACGTTCAGCACCGTTAAATATGGTTTGTCAATCAGACCTCATTGATGGTGCTGAGCGTTGTGTTTGTATTCGAAGCCCACACCTAAAGCAACGCTACCAGATATAACAAGCTAACAGCCCAGCGACTGCATGCTGCATGCTCAGCAAAATATTTGTACACACTCCTGCAATGTCATATCCAATATGCTGGTTCCCCAATAACTCTGGATTCAATGTTCAGCTCTAGATGGCGCTGTTTGTGAAAGTACTACCGTAATACATGTTGCTTCAATCAAAACTTCTCTGATGATACAAAGTGATGGTTCCACGCTGCCATGGGCTTAATATCAACCATTAGTGTGATATCAGATGAGAGCAATCTATAAAAAAAAATAACATAACAATTTTAAAATAGTATTGATTTTAATGATTTCTATCTCCAACAAATAGTGATTTTAAGTGTAACCCCAAAACAGACAAAAATTAGTTAAATATAGCGACGATGTTGCTGTTTCATTGTGTAAATAATAAACACTTCATTAATAACAAAAAACACATAAAAAGAAATGGCTAGGCCAGCAAAACCCGAAAGATTCAGCCTACTAGTAATTGCCACAGTACAAAAAGGACCTTCCTTTTTATTTGGTCACTGATGGGAGTTATTTTCCTAGCATGTCACTGGTTATTCGTCTTTGTTTTCCCCTAAATATAATCAAACATTACTTGTTTGACTACTTGTTTGATTATTGCATGGTAATTCACAATAAATGAAATGAAATTAAGTGCTCTGTAAATACTAGTAGATTTCTTCCATAGGATTCTTGCACTGGAATGAGCATGTGTTGTACCATGGAGGTTATTATTACCTCCATGGTTGAACTAATAAACACATGGCCTTAATTATTGATTTAAATTTAGAAGAAAACATTGCTCTTATAAAAAAAGAAAGAAAGAAACTAATGGATATTAAATGTAAACTATGCATGAACTCCAATACCATTATTGAATCGAATAATTTAAACAGTGGTATTAGTGTTTGAAACTCTATCTCTGGATCTTGCGTTTCTTTGCCTTTCATTTGTTTTTGTTCAGTCTTTGTTCAGTCTATATTAAATGGATTTAACTAGGAGTCAATTCTCAAGTAAATGGTTAAAGGGTGGCAGTCGTCGTGCCGCGTCCTGTTTGATATGGGACTTATAGCGACGTATACGACGCATGGAAAATACATTGTTTATTTACATGGAATTCGAACACGCGCTGCCCTACCGCCCTTTAACTAGAAAAAAAAATGTTCAAAGCACTACAAATATTTGATATTTGGACGAATGGTGGCATAATGTAAATGAAATAAAAAGATGAGATACCCTAACTTGTTTCCATGGAAATGACGAATTGTGATTTCTCAAAGCGTTTAATTAGGTAACATGCTTATGGTTTAGGTTCATAATTCCAAATTTAGTTTGGGTACTATAATATTGATATTTGCGCTCAGGTACCTGACTCAAACATTTTTTGGACAACTTCCTTTGAAAATAATTAGAGCCGTCGACCCTTTCCCGTGATTCAGTGCACGAAACCATAGTCCTTTCTAAGGTCTATGACGAAACACGGTGATCCAAGGACGCTTGCACGCGTTCATTTTCAATACACTATGCAAACAAAGTTAGTTATAACCACCCTTGAAGAAGAATTGTTGTTCCTAAAATAACTTAATATATTATAGTTTGTTTGGTGTAATGGTCCAGCAACCAGCAATACGGGGGGGGGGGGGGTAATTATATTTTGTACAACACCATAACGACCTTCCCGCACACGTCATACAAACTGAACTGTTATTATTAGTATAATGTCTAACTGATTGCGCGCCATCATATTTATCGGAATTCGGTTCATGTATGCCGCATCAATCGACGTATGCTGCCCTCAACGACGAGAGATACTTTTCTATCCCCCAAATCTCAGTGAATCAAACTTTCAGGATCCATGCAAAACATTGACCGGTGACGGTGAAGTACCTGAAACCATAGTCCCTCTACCCATACTCTATCTCTCTAGAGGGACTGTGCTGAAACCAAAACAACATATAGATCTCAAAGACCTCTTCATCCGTTCACGAAAGTGCCTGATTTGTTCTATCACGTGACCCTGGATCAAGATCAGTATATATACCCAAGGCAAGTTCGAAAATGTGTTAGTCATTGAATAAGTAAATGGAATGAAGGTAAGTATTTTCTCTTTATAACCATGCTGGAATGCATGAACAATTTTATGATCTCAACGACTTTGTTTACGGGTAGGTTATTCGAGTCATTGGAGTCATAAAGTTACTTTCTTTTTCTAAATATTCAGAGTTCATAAAAGAACGGAAGCTCGATTCGTGCTGTTGATCTGCAGTACCCAGGTCGGTTTTTGATTGGTTCGGGTCAGTGATTGACAATCGTTCGCGCGGTTCTGCACAAACCATTAATCATACTAGTACATGGTTTTAAACGCCGCCAAGTATGTATGCACAAACCAGCTGACCGAAGGAATTTTCTTTCATCTTTACGACTCAGGTCTTAGATAATTTACTGCTAGACCAAGTTACTGAAAATATCAGTCCAGTTATTTGTGAGTTTATGACGGTAATCTTAAAGCGGGGAAGTCGTCACCTGCGCATACGTCAGATGGCCATAGCGTGCCGTTGTTTACAAGCAAGCGGCTACCCATGAGTCTTTGCGTTTTTAGCATGCGTTGTTATCGCGTGCGCGAGAGTATGCATTTTTGGGAAGTTCGCTGAAAAAAACAAATACAAATGAACTCATTCTTGAGAAGTTCGCCGAAAAAAACAAATACGTAAATCCAATGACAGAATTGTCGTTGATGGCATAACTGTAGAATACTCGTATTATTTGATTCTTAGTCATCTTTTATACCGTGACTGCCATTAACAAGCTATATATGGATGTGTTCATGGATGGAGTACAGCCTTCAGTCTGCAAGGAACGTGCTTTAATTCAACTTTTTCAAGTAGTGTTTTTCAGAGGCTTAAATTTAAGCGGACCAAATATGCATTAAATCACACAATTGACCAAAACAGCTTAAATTCAGGCTTCTGAAATACATCGTAAAGTATTAATCTCCATAAAAGTCAGACTAATTTGGCGGTTTTGTAAAACGACAAGTTACATTAGAACGTTTTAAAGGTGCTTACGTTTAGAATAGAAACCCGACAGAAAATAAAGAGGCGAAGCCGATATGTTTATTTTCCGTCCGGGTTTCTATGCTATTTAGAGCCGACAACTGACTAACGGCTGTTTCTATTCTATATTTAATTTTAAGAACACAGTGTCTAATGCTTTGGCAGCAGTTGAAACATATAAAGGTCACAGAGTTATTAAAGACTGAATGAAAACGACTTTTTTGTTACACGATTCAAGCGTGAAAATAAAAATAAATAAATAAGTAAATCCTAAAACAGGGAATTTATAACAAAAAGCCAATATGAGAAGTACACACAAAAAACAAAAATGGATAAATAAAAATATAAATGAAAACATAACTGAAACTGTGTTAAGGTAGCGAGAAGGTTTTGTGACGTTTTTAAATAAAACATTCTCTGTCTGTTGTCTCGTTCAGAACAG